CACAAATATAGAAAATAAGACCGAAAGTAAGTGAAATAATTCATCAAAATGGCGTAGCACCATATTTTGGGCCAAACAAACATTTTACACACTATTAGAATTGTTCGGTTAATGTTTTTGCAGTTTAACATACATTCACATTAGTCAGTGTGTGATCTACTTTTATCTGTCAGTCTGTCCATTTTCCTCCAACATAGCTCTGCATGGAAGCCATAATGTCTGTTTACGTTTCGACAGCACGCTGAGTATATCGGACAGTTTGATCAACAGATCTTATGCATGCACATTAAATGCGTAAATTAGTCTTTTTCCATTTACGCATTCCTATACAGCTGTCCGGGCGTTTCCACATCTAAAGTCAAAACAAACCCAGCTATGTCAGCTGTGAGTCAGCTGTGATCGTGGCGCTCGCTTCTCTTCAAAACCTGCATTAAATCAGTTCCATCCATCTGAAAACGTGTAGTTTTAAATAAGAAGATACTGAATGTGTTTACCTTCTGCTGCCTGGATAACGCTGACTTCCAGCCCCTTGAACGTTTTGCTGGCGAGCTCCTCCAGCGCACACAGCGGCGACGAGGGAGTGGTGATCCCGTTCCGCGCAGAGTTGGAGCCCGTGACTTTCTCCAGCACTCTGGGCGGACAGATACTGGCGACCGACTTCTTTACCGAAGGTTTGTTAAGGATATCCTCAATACTGAACGGCGTTAAAGGCTTGTTGGAGTTGGCCGGCGGCGGCAGCTGGTCCAGGGGAGCCCGTCTCCTCTCCTCGCCGCTGGACTGTAACATAGAACCTGCCTTCATGTCTTTACTGGAGGTCATCGCAGTCCCGAAGAATCGCTGCTTCCAGAAAAGTTGATTATTTCATTCAACTGGCAGTTTTCCTCGGCGTTTCTCGTAGACCCCCCTCTCTATATGTTGACACTCAAAGCCGCAACTTAGCTCGCCTGAGAGCTTTCCTCCAAAATAACCATGCTCCGGGCGTAGTTTGAAAAGGCAGCCGGACTGTATTCCCCTCAGAGAGTCGCAGTTCCTCTGCCGAGCTCCATGTAGATCTTTAGGAAGTAACAGACTGGAGGGGGTGAATCCCTGCAAGAGTAAAAAAGCTGTCTCAAGCAGCAAGAAAAAGAAAGCGACCGCTAACGAGTTATTGTTGATTGGGCGAAGTTCAATTAGAGTAACACTACACTACTTGCTGACCCGCTGCTGCGTCTTAAAGGGCCGGACCGTAATAACTAATTGGACGTGGGGGATAGGAGGAGTCTGTTGCTGCCGAGGAGAAAGATGCCCTGAATGTTTATGCATCTGTTTCCCTCTGCTGGTGTGTTCTGCTAGAAAGGGAGAGCTGATGGCCATTAAGATACTGCCACCAGCATCTTTGCATTATGGAAAAGTTTTGAAGGAAACAGAGAGCCAACAGCGGTCTCCAGTCGTGATATTTATTTAATCATTTTCGTGCGTAATTACGCATAGAGCGGTATGCGTAACGTGCGCATTAGGCACTGTGTTGTACGAGAATTTGGCTTAAAATAACCACAATGAGCACATCTAGGGACCTGACTGTGAAGTCTATGAAACTGATTTGCCTACAAGTAAACAGAAGCTGTTCGAGTTTAACCCATTGTTCAACACGAAGGCTGATGGATTTTTCTTCTTCTTTATGAAGCAGATAAGTGATGCTTCTAATCTGAAACCAAAAATGTATGTATATTTAAATAATGGCTCATATTTATTCCCTGTATCACTCTGATACCCACAAATATTATAAAGGTTTCATTTATGAGAATGAAATCAGAGAATATTTTTATTATTAAAAAATAAGAAAAGAAAACATTTCAGGGTTGAATTTGTTTATTCCTTTTTGTTCATGCTGTTTATTTATGTTTACCATTTTTCCTCCGTATATCACACGCGCCGATGTGACCCTGCAGGTACAATCCACCGTTACACTGCTGTAATTGAATGCGTAGCGTGAAACAAGCGGATAATAAAAGGTGACACCGTGCTGTTGCTCAGAGTCTGAGGACGGACAAATGTTATTTTTACTGATGAAGCTTTTAGGATGTAAAGATGGAAACGAGTAGAGAGACTAAACGGGGACGAGCCGGACGCCGAGGAGAGCGGCAGGTACGTCTGCTCGGAGGAAACACACCGCGTTTTATTTAAGGCTCGTCAACTTCAACGCATTTAGCTGTTGTCGCCACGTGGGTCCTTCATTCGTTTTAATACATTTTTAGAGAATGCAAATAACATGTAGGCAGAACGAAATATACATTTTGCAGGTGTGAGAAAAATGCAAAGGAAGTAAACTCACGTTTTATCCGCGAAATAGAACAAAAGCTTAACAGTACAGTAAAATATCTCAATTGAGCCTATATTTTAGCACCTGCATTAAATTCTATATGTGCCGACTTCTGATAGAAGCCAGAGGCTCAATACATCTGGGGAATTACTAGTTTTTTTTAAATATACAATCGGATTATTCTGACCCATTTGGAGTAAACCTGCCGCTCAGGAAGCCACTGCGGGAGAGTCTTGTGCCAACAGGAGCATATGGTGACATTGGTTTAGGGAAAGAGTTATAAAACAGCAGGAAATTCTATTAGCTACCTTGGAGGTCCACCCTTTGGCTGCTTTGAATATGTATTTCTCCATAACAAGCAGGAGTGTTTGGGATAAATTCAATTTGGGGATTCGACGGAAACATGCATCGTTTTGATAAAACTTGCAGTAGCTGGTCTGAGCAGACATAAGGTTTACCTTGACACGTGAATTCACAATCAGTTTGAAATATTAAAGGGATTACAGTACACACGTTATGTTTTTTGTTGTTGCACACTTGCTACATATTTAAAAAATGGAAATAGAAAAAGACGTGTATTTGCCAGATTGAACAGAGGTGTGTTCAATTGGCATATCCATGTTATTTTCGTTTGATACAATAGAGGATACAAACATAATAATTTGACATTATCCTTGCAGGCCTCTATCATCCACACTGGTGTGATGATTATGAGAGGGAGGGAAAACCTGCTGGTTTTATTTTACTGTGAATTCTAGATTTGATGTCCAGAACGATACAAGTGTAGGCCTACTGAAGACCATCTGGACTGGCTGCTGTAGATTATTAACCTCAAATTTAGTTTAAGCGTGAATGGCCCTCAGACCTCCCCAAACACCGGTCCACTGGGCTTTACGGTCTGAAGCGAAGCAGCCGGGGTCAGAAAGTTATTTTTATTCCTTTGGTTTAATTTAAACGTCAATTAGAAGCAGAGTAGCTGACATCATCAATCACCAGCTCTTGAGGGATTTAATTGGACGATTCGCACCTATCAGTACCGGGCTCCTTACTCCAAAAAGTAGTGCGTTACATTAAGCCACATTCAGAGACTATTATTAGATATTTTTTTCCTCTTTGTGAGGAGCAATTTATCAAACAATTCCGGCCTCTCTTGCATTTAAAAACCACTGGACCTATTAATAATCAGGAGGCGCAAATGTGCAGTGTTCGTGTCATCCTTTGGCTCGATAAAATCAAAGCAGTGGGAAAACTCCCATGTAAAGGTCAGGCGAGCTCTCTGTCATTAATCACCAAATTAATTCACAGCGCTCCGCTGCGAACATCAGGGAACGTATCCGATTCAGGCTCCACCGGAGGCTCGAAGAAGGTGGCGACAAATGCAACAACTGCAATAATAATCCTGAACATTTCATTTGTTACAGTGCTGTAACGCGTTACCGCTCATCGCTCCGTGCAAAACAGCTGTGAGGCTTACTATCAGAGGTGTGTGCAGCATGTTGTTGTTGGGGAGATTCTTTTTAATGCATTTCCCCGATTTTGATTAGTTGAAGAGCGATTAAGACAAAAGCACAAATATTTAAAGTCTGTACAATAAACATTTGCAGGAAGTGTAATATTATTACACATTCTTTTTTTTCTTTCAAATAAATCTCTAAAATAAATACAAAAAAAATCCAGGTTGCAAAAATCTAATACAAAAGTTCTTAAAGGGATATTAAGAAATTAAAGCATATTATAAAGGGGACATATTTCAATAAATTAGCCTCCAAGGTCATCATCGAGCACCACAAATATTTCTCCATAGCAATATTATAAACATAACAAGTTCCAGACAAAAATAACAGTGTAATAATGTCACAATAAAATCATCGCTGGTACCTTAAACTCTCTCTGTCCCTTTCAGATGCTTTTAAGCTTATTTCTTGGAAAATGTATACTGCAGTTGTATTTATTTTTTCGGTTAATTATGATGTGTTCATGTGCCGTAATGGTGGCGTTTGTCTCCAGTGCTGTTGTAAAGAGGCAGCTCTCACAGCGCAGCGTGTCGTCCTGTATTATGAAAGAAAACAGCTGTAAACGCCTCCCGGTATAACATGATACAGGAGAAAGCTGCCCATGGCGCTGTGGGTGTTTGTTTCCATTCTTAACCGGCTTGTTTTCACTGTGAAACACACTGCGGCTGAATGAATTAAAGGGCCGTATCAAGGTGTGTGCTGACGAGGATCCACGGCAATTCTGTTAAATTACTCTTTTTTATTTTTTTATTCTTAACAGAACTGCTTTTCAAAACGTGGAAAATATGGAATATTAGAGTCAAAATACTGTTATTTCAAGTGACATGCAGGCAGAAAGCCAAATAATAATTATAAAAAACAATACTAAAAATAAACATGAGAATATTTTGGAGACTATATATTTTAGTAAAATAATAAAAAAAATAAATTGATGCTGTTTAATTCACGCGAGGGCTGTGTGCGTCTATTATCACGCCAATATCAAATTACGGGATTTTCAGTGGACATTTTTCTTTCCAAGCTGTCCTCGAACGCACCTTTTCAGTTCGACGTCGCAGCATCGGCTGAGACGCTCAGGTGTTCATCTTCTCAGCAGCTTCACTCTGTTTGCAGGTGACGTAAATGACGTCGTCAGTTCTCATTGGCTGTCGGTCTCCGTTCAAGGCATTCCATGACATCATTTATCCCCAGTGATCTTTTGTTTCATTATAGCTTTCATGCTCTGGTCTTTATATGTTTCTGCTGTTAATTGGATTTCTGAGGAGAAAGTGAGGAGCAATTACTGTTGATGGACAGGATGTTATTGTGTGATCCAGACATGCAGCCCATCAAACCAACAGCTAGAGACAATGTTGGGACACATGATATCATTTTAAATCACCTTCTCTTCTTTTTATTGCCCATTGATCTTTGTTAAAACAATAAATTCTACTTGACTCACAAGGTTATTGCCTAAATCCTACTCGATAAACAACACCAAAGCTGCAACTATATAATTATCATCATCAATTTATCTACAGATTAATTTCTTGATTAATCCATTCTGTCTCTAAAATGTCAGGAAATCTAAAGTCCGAAAGCCAAAGACCATCATTTTACTCTCACTTATGACAAACACAAAGGAAACAAATCTTCAGAATTGAGAAGCTGGAAGCAGTGACTTATTGTCACATTTACTTGAAAAAAACTGAAAATATTAATCAATCGTCAAAATTGTTGGCAAATTGATATTATGTTAATTGACGGTTGATTAACTGACCAATCACCTCAGCTCTAAATAACACCCTTGACCTCTCGTCTTGCATGAAGTATGCTCATGAGATATTCAAACGTGTAGCACTGCAACAGGTCAAAATGAAGAGCACTTCAAAATAGTAGCCTGCATGTTAAAATCAATTGATTTTTAAAAACGTTGACCCTGAATGCAACACACATAAAAAAATGATGAAGATGCTTGAGTCACAACAAAGAATGTGAATATTGATGGATGGATTGCGAGCTAGTCAACATTCACATTTTCCTACAATAAGATACTG